ACCTTTAAAGAACTTGTAAAAGGTACTTTAGCTACAGGAGTTGTTGTTGTATCCGCCGTGTCTTGATTTTTGTAACACGTTTTCTGCGAACTCTCGGCTGAACCTGTATTTCCAGCCTGTAACTGTCGGTCTGTATTATCCAACCTGTTATTCCAGCCCGCGACTCGTAAACCTGTAGCATTTTTCTCGGCGGTTCATGTTGCTCGAACTTGCGTTTCTAGCTTGCGATAACCCCCCCCTCCCTCCTCCCCAGTTCCCTCTTCCTTCTATCTTTGCTATCTCCCCTTCTTCCCTTTCCTCTCTCTCTCTCTTTTCCTCTCTCTCTTCCCCCTTCCTCCCTCCCTCGTTCCCTGCACCCCTCCCACATCTACCTTCCTCCTCCCCCCCCCCCTTCATCCCTTTCTTCCCCTTCACCTCTCATTATTCTACCTTCCCCCTTCCTCCCTCTTCCCCCCTTCCCCATTTCCTCTCCTTCCTTTCCTCCTCCTTCTCCCCCTTCTTCCCTCTCCCCCCCTTCCTCACTGCTCCCTCCCCCCTTCCTCCCTCTTCCCCTTCCTCCTTCCCCTCCTTCCTCTCCTTCCCCCCTTCCTCCCTCTCCTTCTCCCCTTCCTCCCTCTCCTTCCCCTCCCTTCTTTCCCCCCTTTCCTCCCTCTCTCTCCCCATTCCTCCCTCCCCCCCTTCCCCCCCCCTCGGCCTTCTTCCTGCGGCCTGTACCTCTCAATTAGAGCCTGCAGCGAGCACTTCCAGCCTTCGGTTGTTGCAAGTCACGTTCCGAACACATCGACGTCAGTGTTCGAATGCCATTGCGAAGTTCTTTCTTTTTTTTCTCCTTTGTCTTATTCTTTTCTTTTGATTAAATTTTTTTTTCCATCTTTTTTTATTTTTATTTTTTTTTTTTTATTTTTTTTTTTTTTTTTTTTTGATAATTATCTTGGTCCTTTTCTCGTTTTTGTTTCTCTCTTTTCTCTCGCTTTCTTTACCATCACCCATTCTCTCTGTCGCTGTGTTCTTTTTTTCTCTTTCGTTCTTTTTTTCCTCTCCCATCCCCCTTGTTTTGCTCTCTCTCCTCCTCTCCCGCTCTCCCTCTCAAGTATTTACTCTCTGGCATCAACTCTCTCTCTCTCTGTCTCTCATTCTCTCATTCTCTCTGTCTCTCTGTCTCTCTCTCTCTCGTCTCTCTCTCTCTCTCTCTCTTCTCTCTCTCTCTCTCTCTCTCTCTCTCTCTCTCTCTCTCATCCTCTCTCTCCTCTCCTCCTCTCTCCCTCTCTCTCTCTCTCTCTCTCTCTCTCTCCTCTCTCTCTCTCTCTCTCCTCTCTCTCTCTCTCTCTCTCTCTCTCTCTCTCTCTCTCTCTCTCTCTCTCTCTCTCTCTCTCTCTCTCTCCTCTCTTCTCTCTCCCTCCTCCCTCCTCTCCCTCCCTCTTCTCCTCCTCCTCTTCTCGTCTCGTCTCTCTCTCTCTCTCTCTCTCTCTCTCTCCTCTCTCTCCTCTCTCTCTCTCTCTCTCTCTCTCTCTCCTCTCCTCTCTCTCTCTCTCTCATTGTTTTTTTTTCCTTCGATTCTTTTCTTGTTAAACTGCCCCGTCATGCACAAAGCCGGTCAAGACGTAGCGAGCGGATGAAAGGAGGAGGGAGATAGGAGGTGATGAAAGGAGGATAACGGATGATAGGAGAGAGGCGATAGAGTGAGAGAAGGCGAGAGATAAAAATTAAAAAAATAGAAGAGAAAAAGAGAGAGAAAAAAAGGAAAAGAAGAGAAAGACAAAGAAAGAGAGAACGACGAAAAATAAAAATAAATTAAAAGAGAGAGAACGAGAAAAAGAAAAAAAGGAAAAAAAAGATAGACAGGAGCAATAGACATGCACAGTATAACTAGAGAGAAAGGGAAATGAGAAGGGGAGTTGCCAAACGGTAGACGAAAGTGAGAGATGAATAAGATTAAGACCAGAGAGAGAGAGAGAGAGAGACGAGAGAGAGAGAGAGAGAGAGAGAGAGAGAGAGAAGAGAGAGAGAGGACGAGAAGGAGAGAAGGAGAGAGGAGAGAGGAGAGAGGAGAGAGGAGAGAGGAGAAGAGACGGAGAGATGAGAGAGGAGGGGAGATAAGAGAGAGGAAGAGAGAGGAGATGAGAGATGAGAGAGGAGAGAGGAAGAGAGAGGAGGAAGATGAGCAGAGAAGAGAGGAAGGGGTAAGGGGGAGGGGTCATATCGGGCCAGAAAGCAAGGGAGAGGGAGAAACGATCACAAGGGAAGGGAGGCTGGTTCAAAGAGGTAAGGGGGTGTAGATCCAGGGCTAGGAACAAAGAATAAAGAGGGGGAGGGGGAATTCGCAAAGGGGCCAGATTTAAGGGTTAAGGGGGAGGGGGCAAATCTTGGGGCATTCCAGAGGGGCAAAAGATTTGGGCAAATCGTTAGTTTGAAGGGAAAGGGGGGAAGGTGGTAGATCCAATGGGTAAGGAGTGATAGGAGCTCCAGACCAGATGTAATGGGTAAGGGATGGTGGCAGATCCAGGCCAGATATAATGGGTAAGGAGTGAATAGCGAGCTCCAGGACCAGATTCCAGTGGGTAAGGATGGTGGCAGATCCAGACCAGATCAATGGGTAAGGGGGGTTGGCATATCCAGACCAGATCCAATGGGTAAGGGATGGTGGCAGATCCAGGCCAGATCCAGTGGGTAAGGGATGGTGGCAGATCCAGACCAGATCCAATGGGTAAGGGGGGTTGGCAGATCCAGACCAGATCCAATGGGTAAGGGATGGTGGCAGATCAGGCCAGATCCAAGTGGTAAGGGATGGTGGCAGATCCAGACCAGATCCAATGGGTAAGGGGGGTTGGATCCAGACCAGATCCAATGGGTAAGGGATGGTGGCAGATCAGGCCAGATCCCAGATCCAGGCCAGATCCAGTGGGTAAGGATGGTGGCAGATCCAGGCCAGATCCAAGGGATGTGGCCAGATCCCAGATCCCAGATCCAGTGGGTAAAGCGAGGGGGGTGGGAGGGGCATTGTCGGGGGGGGAGGGGGGGGGATGAATAACACGCGCAGTGAATGGGCGAAAACGAGTCCCCGGAGGTCGGTGTGCCACGGTGCCGCCCCGCCCTCCGTCGTGATCTCCGTGTGTGTCTTGACAGTTATCTGGGAGGTGATCTCACTCCGCGGGCTGTCGCTGTCATAGGGCGCCCGCCTGCCGCTCGTCCTCCTCTTCCTCTTTCTCCTGGTTTTTCTTCGGTTTTATTGGTTTTCTTCTTTCGTTTTTCGTCCTCCTTCTTCTGCTTCTACTGTTTTGTTTTTCTTATTAATATTATTATTCACCTTCTGCTCCTCCTTCCCCTCTCCCCTTTCCTTCTTTTATTTTTTTTCCTGCCTTTCCTTCTCTTTCTCCTTTCTCCTCCTCCCCCTCCTCCTCCAGTCTCTCCCTCTCTCCCTCCTCCTCCTCTCCCTCCTCTCTCCTCCTCCTCTCTCTCTCCTCTCCTCTCCTCCTCCTCCTCCTCACCTCTCCTCCTCCTCCTCCTCCCTCTTCCTCCTCTCCTCCTCCTCTCTTTCCCCTTCCTTCCCCTCCCCTCCTCCTCCTCTCCCTCCCCTCTCCTCTCCCTCTTCCTCCTCTCTCCCTCCCTCTCCTCCTCCTCCTCTCCCCCTCTCCTCCCACCTCCTCTCCCTCCCCTCTCCTCCTCCTAAATTCCCTCCTCCTTCCCTTATTTCCTTGCATTTCTCAGAAGCCATTATTGTTACATATGACAGTTTGTGCGACTTGTGTGACGGCGAAATTGATATGTAAAGTTTGGCTTCGTCAGTCTGATGTCCTGGTGCGGGGATATAGGTCGTCGTCGTTGTTGTTGTTGTTGTTGTTGTTGTTGTTCTTGGTTTTCGTTGTTGTTGTTGTTTTTCGTTTTTTGTTGTTGTTGTTGTTTTTTCGTTTTTCTTGTTGTTGTTTTTCTCGTTTTTGTTTTTGTTTTTCTCGTTTTTGTTTTTGCTGTTGCCGTTGTTGTTGTTTTTCGTTGTTGTTTTGTTGTTGTTTGTTGTTGTTTGTCTTGTTGTTTTTCGTTTGGCTACGTCAGTCTAATGTCCTCGTGCGTTGATAAGGTCGTTGTTGTTGTTTTTGTTGCTGGTCTTGTCACTGTCGAATGAATGTATTGTATTGCAGTTGTTTTTGTTCTCTTCTAATCGTGTTTTTTCTTGTTTTTCTAATTATACTTTAGGAGCTTCATTGTTGTCGACATTATTAATGACGATGATATTTTTACTCAGTTCTTTGGTTTCTCGTCGTTAGCATGATTTCGTCATGATAATCCCCTTTGTCATGTTGATTTCAATGATGGTGGCGTTGAATTGGGTTTTCTCTTTCTCTTTTGCAGCTGTTCTTGTTTATTGGAGTGTGGTGTTATTATTATTGTGTTCATCGTTGTAGGTATCGCCATTATCCTCTTCTTCATCGTCATCATCTTCTTCTTCTTCTCTTCTCTTCTCTTCTTCTTCGTCATCGTCATCATCATCATAATCATAATCATCTTCGTCATCGTCATCATCATCATCATCATCATCATCATCATCATCATCATGAGTCGTCACCAATTATCACCATACTGCTAATACTCCTGCTACAATGATTACCTCTTTTATAACGACTACCCTCACTACCTTTACATCTAACTGCTGTAACTTGTGTTATTTTATTGTCACTTTTGTCATTAATGTTATTTCATTATTGCTATCATTATTGTCATTAATATTATTGTATTATTGCTATCATTATTGTCATTAATATTATTGTATTATTGCTATCACTGTTGTCATTAATATTATTTTATTATTATTATCATTGTTGTCATTAATATTATTTTATTATTATTATCATTGTTGTCATTAATATTATTTTATTATTATCATTGTTGTCATTAATATTTTATTATTGCTACCATAAGTATTGTTGTGGTTGTTACCGTTATCATTATCGTTATCATTATCGTTATCATTATCGTTATCATTATCGTTATCTTTATCACGGCCGCAGGTGTACGTGGGCCTGGTGGACCAAGCCGGGATCTCTGAGCACAAGTACCGGCCCGTGGAGTACCTGGTGGACCGGACACTGGACTACCACGACTACACACAACTCCAGCCCTATCAGGTGAGTACCCAGTGAGAGTGGGCAGAAGAGGAGGGAAGGGTGGTGGGGTGGGGAGCGAGAGGGAAAGGGGGAGGGGAGAGGGAGGGAAGGTGGGGGGAGCGAGAGGAAAGGGGGAGGGAGGGAAGGGTGGGGGAGCGGGAGGGAAAGGGGAGCGAGGGAAAGGAGGGAGGGAAGGGTGGGGAGGAGGGAAGGGGGGAGCGAGAGGGAAAGAGGGAGGGAGGAGGGGTGGGGGAGCAGGAGGGAAAGGAGAGGAGGAGGGTGGGGGAGCGAGAGGGAAAGGAGGGAGGAAGGGGGGGGAGCGAGAGGCAAAAGAGAGAGCGAGAGGGCTAGTGTTTGGATGTGAAGGAAAGAAGGAGGATGGAGGATAGGGTGACGAAGTGAGAGGGAAAGAGGGAGAAAGAGTGTGGAAATTACGGGTGATGGAGCGAAGGAGGGATAGAGAGAGGGAGAGGGAGCGTAAGTGAGAGATGAAAAGATGAGTGCGAGGGAGAGGAAGAGAAGCAGGGTGACGTGAACGAGACAGGAGAATGATGGAGGCTGAAACATTAAGAAAAAATGAGAAAAAAAACAAAATGGTATCCCAAAAAGCTTGGATTAGCGAAATACAAGATGAATAAACAAAGGTAAAAAAAAAAAAAAAAAAAAAAAAAAAAAAAAAGTTAAAGAATATTTACGTAGAGCGAGAAAAATAATCACAATAAAGAAGAATATGCCGAGACAGAAATGCCCGGAAAGAGCATTGCCATGTAGCCGGAGCGAAATCTGGTGCCATGCGGGAGTGCCAGTAAAATCCTCACTGCCGGGGCTATCTCGCGGCATCATGGCACTCTCCGCTTCCTTGAATTCGTGGGCGCGGGCGTTTGGCTTTATGGGCGGCTTTTCGTGATCAGATACGGGCGGGCGGGCTGTCCGATTCATGATTCGGCTTTGATGGAGGGAAGTGGAAATGGGAAGATGGTGGAGGAGGAGGAGGAGGAGGAAGGTGGAAGGAGAGGGGACGGAGAAGAATGAAGAGAGAATGGGGAAATAGGGAGAGGAGGTGAATGGGAATTAGGAGACAGAAGAAGAGGAGGAGGAGGAGAGGAAGAAGGAGAGAACGAGGACGAGGACGAGGACGAGGAAGTGGTAGCGTGAAGGAAGAGGAAGAAGAAAAAGAAGGAAATGAAGTAAAAAGAAAAAAAAAGCTGAAGAAAACGGAAAGAGGCGGAGCAGCCGAAAGGAGGAAACGGACGGGCGTTGAAGACGTGCCGCACGCCCATCCCACCCACCGCCCGCCGCCCATCCCGCCCGCACCATCGACGCCAAGGCCAAGGTCGCTCGCAACACAACAGCTCGCGAGACCAAACTTTTGAGTTCGCGTCCTGACCTCATCCCTATTTCTGGCCCCGAGGGAGAGGCGGGGGAGAGGGGGAAAGGGGGAGGGAGGGGAGGGTGGGGAGAGTGGGGGAGAGGGAGAAGGGAGGGTGGGGGAGGGAGAGGGAAAGGGAGGGAGAGGGGAGAGGGGGAGAGGGAAGGGTGGGGAGCGAGAAAGAAAAGGGAGGGAGAGGGAAAGGGGAGAGACATGAGGGATCAGCGGGCGAGGAAGGAGAGTAGGGGAGAGGAGAATGGGGGAAGGGGGAAGGGAGAGGGGAAGGAGGAGTGAGGGGTAAGGGAGAGGGCAATGAAGAGAATGAGGGGGGGGGATATAAGAGGAATGAGGAAGAGAATAGGAGAGGGAGAGGAGCGGGAGGAAGGAAGGGAAGGGAAGGGACATGAAAAAAAAAAGAGTAGAAAGGGGAGAGAGGAGAGAGAGAGGGGGGAAAGGGGGGGGGTGAGGGATGTAGCCCATATTTCTCTCGTAATGCAATGAAGAAGAGTGGCTACGGCACGGCAGGGGTCGGGAGTATCATGTTTGTGTTCGGGGTTTGCGGGCTAGAAGGGCCTCGGGGCTTGCGTAACGGATTTGTTTGTTTGCTGGCTGTTCTTGCGCTTCGTTTGCTGGTGTTTGGTTTGTTTTAGATTCGGGTTCTGGGCTCGTGGTGAGGGTTTTTGTGCTCCCTCCCTTCCTGATTCTCTTTCTCACTCCTCTCTCTCTCTCTCTCTTCCTCCTTCGCTATTTCCCTTTCTCCTCCTCCTCCCTCCCTTCCTCCCTTCTTCCCTCCCTTCTTCCTCTCTCTCTCTCTCTCTCTCTCTCTTCCTCCTTCGCTATTCCCTTCTCTCTCCCTCCTCCCTCCCTCCCTTCTTCCCTCCCTCCCTCCCTCCCTCCCTCCTCACCCTCCCCATCCATCAAGCAAACAAAACAGACGCATCACAACGCTCACCACGCTATACCGAGAACAAGAAAAACAATTCCACGCCCAGTCCCTTCCTCCTGCTTCTCCTTAACCACCTCCTCCTCCTCTCCTCCTCCTCCTCCTCCTCCTCCTCCTCCTCCTCCTCCTCCTCCTCCTCCTGCTGCTGCTTTTTCTCGACCCATCCTTCCCTCTGCTCCCCTCCCCTCCCCTCCCTCCCAGCCTTGTATCCCCCCTCCACCCCTCCTCCGCCACCCAGCCTTGCACCACTCCATCCCCCATCCCCTCCACCCCCTCCCTCTTCCCCCCCCCCAATCAGTGACGCAGCGACGAGAGAGTTTTAAGCATCTAAACATCTTCCAAGAAGCCAACCCCTGAAAGTTGGCGTCTCGACGGCTTTTGTGCAAGGGGGAGGGGTGGGGAGGGGGGAGAGAGAGGGTTGGGGCGGGCCAGGAAAGGGAGGGGTGGAGAGAGAGGGTTGGGGGGGGGGGCCAGGAAAGGGTGGAGGGGGGAGGGAGGGAGAGGGGATAGGAGGGAGGGAGGGAGGGTGGGTGGGTGTGAGGGAGAGATTGGGAGAGGAAGGGGAAGAAAGATAGATAGATGGAGGGAAAGATGGAGGGTGAGGGAGTGCGGGAGATAGAGAGATATTGAGAGAGGAGGAGAGGAAGGGAAAATTGGAGAGATGGAGAGAGAGTGTGTGTGTGTGAAACAGAGAGAGAGAGAAGAGAGAGAGAGAGAGAGAGAGAGAGAGAGAGAGAGAGAGAGAGAGAGAGAGAGAGAGAAAGACTTTTTATGCGCAAGACATTTGGCAACTTTGGGGATTCCATCAAAAGTTTTCCCATTAAAGAAAGTTTAAGATAAGTTGGGATGGCGAGGTGACTGTTGAATGGAACGAGGGGAGGGGGGGGAAGGGGAGGGAGAGGGAGGGAGAGTGGGGGGGGCGGGATTAGATATTCATACTCGTGCATAGTGGTGTCGTCTGGTGTCTTACTGTGTCGTGATGGCGTGTCATGCCGTGTCGTGACGTTACGGCGTGCTTTGTGGCGGTTTTGTGCCATGCTGTTCTCGGCGTCATGAAATGTCATATTTCTGGCATGTCGATTCCTCATGGCGTGATACAATGTAATGCAGGTTTATATACTGTTGTGAATGTGTTGTGTGTGTGTGTGTGCGTGTGTGTGTGTGTGTGTGTGTGTGTGTGCGTGTGTGTGGTGTGTGTGGTGTGTGGTGTGTGTGTGTGTGTGTGTGTGTGTGTGTGTGTGTGTGTGTGCGTGTGTGTGTGTGTGTGTGTGTGTGTGTGTGTGTGTGTGTGTGTGTGTGTGTGTCGTGTGTGTGTGTGTGTGTGTGGTGTGTGTGTGTGTTGTGTGTGCGTGTGCATATCAGGGATTGCGCGTGCGTGTGCATATGAATCTGCTTGTTTGTATGTTTGTATGTATATGTTTATGTATGCATTTATCCATGTATGTATGTAATTATGTATGCGCATACATATCAGGGATTGCGCGACCTGGCTCCATTATTCTGTATGCGCTGCAGTGTGGTGATCCCGTGACCCAGCACCACACAATCCCGTTGCTGCATGTAGTGTCAAGTCAGGGCGTTACCGAGGCCTGGTTTCTGTAAGGTCATGCGGCCCAAGTGACGGACGGGAGGTCAGGGGGAAGGGAAGGGGGGGAAAGGGGAGAGGAAGAGTGAGAAGGGAGAGGGAGAGAGGAGGGGAAATGGTGGGGGAGGAGAGGAGAAGGGAGGAGGAGGATTGGGTGGGGGGAGAGTGAGGGGAGGAGGAATAGGGGAAGGGCTCAGAGAAGGAGAGAGGGAATAGGGAAGAGGAGAGAAGAAGGGGAGGAGGAATAGGGAAGGGTGAGGGAGGGGATAGGGGAGAGAAGGGAGGAGGAAGGGGAGAGGGGTAGGGGGATTAGTAAGGGGAAGGAGGACGGAGGAGGGGGGTAGGGGAAGAGGAGGGGCATAGAGGAGGGGTGGGGGAGGGGGGATGGGGGGGGGGGGGGGGAGAGCGTGCATGAACCCCTCGCTTCTTGAGTGACTCAGGGATTCCCAAACATGGCCGTGAGGATGAAGTCGCGGCGGGTCTTCGCGTCTTCTGCTTCGTCTCTCTTTTCTTTCTTTCTTTTCTTCTCTATCCTTCTTCGTTTCTTCTTTTTTCTGTTCTGTTTTTTTATTTTATGTTTTGTTATTTGTTCTTCTAGTTTTATCTACTTGTGTATCTATCTATCTATATTTCTCTCTCTCTCTCTCTCTCTCTCTCTCTCTCTCTCTCTCTCTCTCTCTCTCTCTCTCTCTCTCTCTCTCTCTCCTCTCTCTCTCTCTCTCTCTCTCTCTCTCTCTCTCTCTGTCTACTATCTATCTATCTGTACGTGCGTGTGTGTGTGTGTGTGTGTGTGTGTGTGGTGTGTGTGTGTGTGTGTGTGTGTGTGTGTGTGTGTGTGTGTGTGTGTGTGTGTGTGTGTGTTGCATACATGCATGCACGTGTATATTTATGTATTTTTCTCTATTTTTCTCCAGTTCTCCCCTTCGCTCTGCCACCTTATATGAAGAATTCTGCTCGCTCAGCTTTAGTCGCTTCGGTGCATTAATAATTCTGGAGGAAAAAAGTAAAAAGCAATAAATGGAAAGAAAAATGTGAGCGTGTGCAATGGGCGCAATGCACGCTAAAACACACGTGCATACGCACGCGCCACACCGCGCAGGCACGCACACATGCACACGCACACA